TCTACAAAATTATATTTTTATTTCATATTTTTGATATCGTATACTTTTAAAGTACTTGATTTTAGTAGGTCGTTATTCTCTGATAGTTTTAATACACTAAGATAAAACAAGTTTCCTTCAATAACTTTGGTACTTGATTTGCTTTCCCTCCGATTCAGTCGCCATCCCCCTAGGTTATTTTAAATTTGTGGTTCTTAGCATGGTATCGATCGATGAGCCTGATAGTAAGGTATTTTTTAGCATAAAAAAGATTATCAATCGATTTCTCCTCATGTTACAAAGCAAAGCTACCCTGATGGCTCTATAAGGGTTGTTAAAATTAACCAGCCTCAATTAATAAAATTCTGTAATAATAAAATCAGGTAAAGTTTTAAATTCTTGAGGTTATTCTAGTACGGCGAAGTATAGTTTCGCAACCTTTATCCCAAAATTTCTATTCGAACAGTTTAGGAGATATGCAAACATATTCTTTTTAATCATCGCATTGCTTCAGGTAATCTGATTCCATTACAGCTCTTTAGCAAATACCAAATGTTTCTCCAACTGGAAGATATACCACAGCTGTTCCATTGGCAATAATTCTCACCGTATCTGCGATCAAAGAAATCGTTGAGGATTTTGTAACCTAATTACTATTACTGAATTTTATAGAAAAGGCATAAAGCTGATGTCTCTACGAACAATAGTGAAGTACAAGGTTGCTAATCAAGTGTTATTCTTTCGTTTACATTGAATAATTTTAACGACTTTTCTACTCCCATTTACCTGAATTCTCCTTAGCTAACCTTTCCTATCATGCCTACTTGATTACACTCTGATTTTTTTAAATTAATTGTTAAGTTCTTGATGGAACTACTTGGAAAACTGTGCGCTGGTGCCAAGTTCTTGTCGGAAACATCGTCAAAGTTACGAATCAGCATTCAATTCCGGCGGACTTGGTCCTACTTGCCTCTAGCGAACCAGAAGCGATGTGTTACGTAGAAACATCTAATTTGGACGGGGAGACAAATCTAAAACTAAGACAGGTATTAATTTAGTCCCTTCGCTATTATCTTACAATGGCACACTTCATTTATGTCACCGAATCCTGGCGAAACCTTTAGGAAATTTGACCAACTTTGTTTAAACTATCTTAGCTCTTTCATGTATTTAGCCAATATATTTTCGTATACGTTTGCACTATGATATACAAAATTCTTAGCTTTCTAATTCATGCCACATTTTATTTCCCTTGTTACTATGACCTTATAATTGTACTCGCCCGCTTTCTTCAATGACTTTAATTCACGAGTTTCATGCTGAATTTGATTGGGCTTTATGAAATTTCGCATACCCTTTGTGTACTTAGTATGTAAACAATTTACTGCAATAATGGTGAAATCTATATCTGCAGGTGCTTCCTCTTCATTTTTCTACACCTTATTGGTTTTTAAATTTTTGTCCAGGAATGCTAACCTACCTGAAAATAATTTACTTTTTCATATGCTCGAACTTATAGCCCTAACTCTTATTTTTGCGTTTCTTAAATATTGAGCTCAGTGAACATCCATTTTTCATTAACTTTGTCTTAAAGGCCTTGAAGCGATCTAGACTAATCATAAAAGGAACGTAGTGACATTACTCCACAATCAGCTTGGCTACATTTCATGGCAATATCTTAACTCATGCAACACCAAGCGGAGCATAACTCATCGGCACTGTGTTCTACGGGGACTAGGCGAATCTAGTCACCAAATCGAGCTTTTCCCTTAAGCCAATCAGAACGTTTCACTAAAAGTACACTGGAGTATTTTAAGTCGGAAACTGGCTCGACTGTGAAGTGGGTCCCTCATTGCCCCGCTTTGCGCCGTCGTGATTCTTTGTGACCGAACGCTGCCCTCTTGCACTAACACCAGACTCCAGCATCGTCTGAGATTTTTTACCACATCGAGGCTCTCGCCTGTGACTTTCCTTCTTATATAAAAGGCAGGCTGTGACTCGTTTTCTTGTTCTTCTATACAAGGCTGTACGGTGGTCTATAAGGTAGCGCGAAGACGAGCTATAAATAGTTCGTGTCTTATGGATCAAAGACTAAGCCTCAAATTGCCCATAGCACAACTCAATTTATATCTTATTCTTCTAATTCCCATTATATGCTGACAAGAATGATTAATAACTAGTATTACAAAGGTCTTTCGATTCTTTATATCATATTACAGCAATTCCGGAAATTGAATTAATCATTTTTATCGAAGATGCAAAGACCAAGATGATGTGACCTTTATTATGTCCGCAGTCTCCTCTCGATGTATAGAAGTGTATTGACCTTTTTTCGCAACTTGGTCGTGTTGTCAAGGGGATTTAGTTAGATGCAGCTTGTCTGAATTAATCTGCTATAGTAGTTATCGTAATTCCCAGCATCGGACTTGATGCATCCTTATGGTACCAAGTCCACGTTCCGATGCTTTGAATTATGATAACTACTATGGCAGAGGACTTCGGATAAGGCGCATCCAACTAAGCCTCTCTGACAACATGATCAAGCTGAGAAAACGAGGTCAACCCACTTCAAGTCATTTTTAGCCAATCTCTACCATTATTTTATTTAGTTTTTCTACTTCTTACTCTGATACGTATATTGACGATCTTGACAAGTTTTAATTTCTTTGTTAACTATCGGTCTTATTAAAAGTGCTTTCTATATAGAGGGTTTATGTTCAAGCAAATATTCCTTCGAGATCTCTTTATCGCCGTCTTTTTTTAAGGAATAAACCATGCAACTTCAAATTAAATGGCGACGAGGCCGTATTACTTGCATAAGTATTAGGCTCTCTTTTTTCCTTTGTTTTTCAACCTTCGATTCTACAGACCTAATATTTCTCAAACTGATAATTATCCTTTTCTGTAGATACTCTAACTACATATAGCTAGATTTGACGCAGGCATTAATTTCTCCCATTCTTTTGATATTTTTATTAATTAGATCGCGATCCGATATTGACTCTCATTCGTTCATTGTGCTGATGCCTGAATTTAACTATTCGCTACCATTGGCATTTCATGTAGTACTTAGGCTTCGTTGAAACGAGCGAATTTCTCCTCAAAACTTACTTTGTATTTCTTTTTTTGTCTCTTACCTCTTATAGATGGTGTGTTTTCACTTTTTCTTATTTAATTAGTAATTTTGCTCAAGCACATATTACAAGCTTTGTTTTCTATTTAAATACTTTATCTTGTCTATAGTTCATTGCATAATAAACTTCTCATGATTTGGCTTCCTTAAGTTTTCCCTTTAATCTTTAGGTTTAACTACTCTTTAGCTTTCCTATTTTAGGGTCCTTCGCTGACAAGTAACTTATTGACAGCCCAAGAGTTGAATGGATTTCGTGGCCAGATAGAATGTGAGCTACCTAATAGAAAGCTTGACGAATTTGTCGGAAACTTACGAACTGTCAACGGCGTGTAGGTTTCTGTTTGATCTAACTTTTTGACATTAAAGTTACACTCACATACATTTCGCGTGCATATTAATAGGTATGCTCACGAAATTCCCATTGACATAAAACATGTTTAGATTATTTACCGTTTAAGCCTGAAAAAGTGCCTTAGCTAATAGCAATTCAGAGAAACGGCGTTTAAAATAAATTGGCAATTACTGGGCAATTTTTCTCATGAAAGATTATTATAAATTACGTCG